TCTGGATCAGCAGGCAGCAAGAAGAAAGAGAGACAGTGGGCCTGGCTTGAGCACCTGAAACCTCAAAGCCCACCCCTAGTGACACACTTCCTCCAACAAGGCCACACCTCCTAATGGTGCCACTCCCCATGAGCCTATGGCGGCCATTTTCATTCAAACCACCACAGTCATGAAAACCTACACCTATCTCACTTGGACTCCATTGAATATTAATTATTTTTCTCATCACTGTGACAGAAGCTGACAGAAGCCACTTGAGGGAAGAAAGATCTATTACGAGACAGGTTCAGCCACTGATGGTGGGGACATTTGTGATAGCGACCCCACAAGGCAGCACTTCCTCAGGTCTTTGTGAATCAGGAAATGAAGTCTCAGGCTGCAGGTAGCCTGGGCTAGACCCCTCAAAGGCCCATCCCACTGACCCACTTCCAGAAGCTCTGTGCCCGTTCCAAAGGTGATGAATTCTTAAAACAGTGCCACCAATCAGGCAGCCATGTGTTCGAGCACGTGAGTCTATGGAGGGCATCTTGGGCAACCCTGAGTCTGCAGGGTATCTCACATTCAAATCCTAATATACTACAGATTCTTATTTCCAACTAAATTATTTAAACCAAGTTCCAAAGTTATATCAGTTTATTATAGATACTCTAACATGTTCTGCCCCCCACTCTGTGTGTGTGTATGTGTGTGTATCTTTCCTCAGAAGTGCCACCAATCTTGTTTTTTGAGACAAAGTCTCTCATTGGCTTGCTTATTAGCCTAGAATGTTCAGCATAAGCCCTGGGGACTGCCCATCTGTCTCTCTAGAGCTGGAGTTACAAGCACACATCACTATGGCTGCCTGGCTCTCTCCCCTTGGGTTCTGGGTGTCTAACTTATACCTTCCTGCTTGCACAGCAAAGATTTTACATGTGGAGCTATCTCCTCAGCCCAGCAACATTTTTCTGAAAGGGAAAGACCAACTCTTAAAAACTGAACTAATATACCATTATCACACACAAAAATCTACCAATTATGGTACATTTTACCATAGTTGGTGCTGAAATTTCACAAGTGTATTTTTTTTTTAATTTTTTAAAAGAAGTTATAGATATCCATCTGGTTTGGGCAACCATTGAAAATAATTTTCTATTAGATCTACTATTTCATTGGGGGTGATGCTCTATGATTCTTTATTTAACCTTTGGCATTCTACTAAAATGAAGACCCTCTTCCTTACCAGCTACGTAGATGACATACAGTTGAGGATGCAAAACTTCATCCCTTCCTTCCTTTCTTAATGAGTTTTTGAAAAGAAAAAAAAAAAACCAGTTAAACCTCTAATACCTACTGAAGGCAACCAATAAAGCATTTTTAAATTGGGTACAGCATACGACTGTGGGTGCTTTTAAAACACATTTGAGTCTTTGATCTAGTTCAGCAATGTGCCCTTTGATGTCCTCTGGTTTCTCCAGGCGGTTCTTGGTTACTCTGGCATACCCACAGTTGTGGGTGGCCATCCTCTGCTGCCTCAGGTAGCTGTCTGAGCTCTCCCTTCACACCCTGCCTGCCCCAAACCTGAGGCTGCCCTTCCTCCCAAGATTCCTGGTTCCTTTCAGTGAGCAGTGTCTAGAGACCACAGTGAAGGCGCTCACTGTTAGTGGGTCAGAAATATCTTGTTATTATACTTTGTCATGGGTAAGGCTAGGAAATGGCTTTCCTCTAAGGATATAGAATACATCAGGAATCCATGGTGATACTTATAATTTAAACTTAGAGTTGCTAGGCTTTTACGCAAATTTTTGGCTTTGTATTTATATCTTGTATTTTGAATGCTTAAAACCCCAGGTCTCTAACATAATCATGTATCTGTTATATTCAGTTATAATCATATATGGTATATGTGTACATATAATCCCTCACTGTTATTACTAACAGTGTGATTATTAAACTTTTAAGATTTTATTGCTAATTATTTTTATTTTGGTGTATAGAATATATCTTTCTAAGAAGGACTAGTTAATTACTGTTTTGAAGACATAGTTAAAAATAAATTCTTTCTGTAAAGCTAAACCAGAAACTCAATACCACTTTATGTTCATTCCTTTGCTTTTTCTTTACAAAATGCTTTTTTGGTCTAATGATGGTTCACCATTTTTAATTTTTAATAATTTATTTATTTTTATCTTATGTTCATTGGTGTTTTGCCTGCATGTATTTCTGTGTGAGGGTGTCAGATCTTGGAGTTACAGACAGCTGTGAGCTGCCATGTGGGTGCTGGGAATTGAACTGAACCCAGGTCCTCTAGAAGAGCAGTCAGTGCTCTTAACCGCTGAGCCATCTCCCCAGTCCCCTGGTTCACCATTAAAAAAAAAAAAAAGCCCACAATGTTCTTTCTTTGCATTTTATTGTATTTACATCTCTATTTTTTTTTTTATAACCTTACAAAGCAGTAGGATTCCAAATGGGGTTTTTGTACATATTGCCTTTGGTTGATTTTCCCAGTATCTCTCTGTACCATTTCCTGGGGTACCTTTCACCCCAGCTGACCCTTTTAATCCTGATCTGCTGTCTTCCCTACCCCCCTCCCTCAGAACATCCTTCTCCCAGTCTCAGGAGCCCCTTCCTAGTGTCTTGGACTTTCCTCCTATATTCTCCCACCTGATATATGTATTTAGCAATTAGAGGGTAGATTCCCCTGTGAATGAGAACGTAAAGAAAAGTACCCACCTTATTCTCAAGGCAAGTCTACATATTACAACATAATATATATATCATATATATATATATATGATATATATATCATATATATGGAGGCTTATTCTTTTTTTTTTTTTTCAGAGCTGAGGATTGAACCCAGAGCCTTGTGCTTGCTAGGCAAGCGCTCTACCACTGAGCTAAATCCCCAACCCCAGGAGGGTTCTTCTGAGAGCCTGGTTTTATCCACTTGACCTACCTTGCTTCTTCTTTCCCATTATGTATAAAATTTTTAGTTATAATTTTTGATTTTTTTTCAATATGAGAAAATTAGGCACAGTTTATATGTCTCCCTCACTTTTAGACAAAATGGATACTTGGTGTACACCAGCCTGTGTTTTTGATTCTAGCATGTTCATAGTCTCATCATCGAGCCCGCTATTGATGGGTATTTGAGTTGATGTCGGTCTCTATTCCCCCTTCATCTTGTATTTTACCAGTCAGTCTAGGGAATAGATTTCTAGAAATGGGCGTTACTGGCTCAGAAAACATATGCATTTTAGCTAGGCTATGGCTAAGTTCTGTACCATTCCTTGTTTATCATTAGGTTTTTTAGATAGATTTTAAAAGGCTATCTGATATTATTTTAGTGGGGAAAAGGGTTTTAGAACACACACACACACACACACACACACACACACACACACACACACACACACACCCTTAAAGCAAGCATAGGCCTCAGCGATGAAGCGGTGGGTCCTTAGCCTCGCAAAGCTTTCTGCTTTGCCAAGCTGCTGACCTGGCACCTCTCAATTTGCCTGCTGTCATTTAGATTTAACAAAGAATCAACACCATGCTTGTCCACCACGGACTCTCCATTTAAATAGAGAGATAGCATGCTACAGTCAGTGTGAACAAATGGCCAAGTGACAAGGTCGGGGGACTTCAGGTAGACCTCCTTGGCTGGCTGGGAATTTAAGAAGATCAGTCAATGTTTCTCAAGACACACATGTCTTTAAAAATTGCACAAAGTGAATCTTAACCCTGGAGTGCTCAGCTTTGATCCCCACTGTATTAGCATATATCCATTATCCCCACTGTATGGGCATGTATTTCTTGTTCCCACTGTATTAGCATATATTCATTGTTCAAAATAACAGCTTTCATTAATTCATTCCCAGGCCTGCATATACCACACTCTAGTTTCGTTTCCAGGGATGGTCTCTCAGGGTTTGAAACCCCAAATAGACCACCCCAAGTCTGACCTCCCAGCCAGAGATAACCTTGAGTCATTGGCCTTGGGGCTCTTTACCATACTGTACAGTATTGGGCTGCTTGCTCTCTCTGTAAGACCCAGACTTTGAACTTTGAACTTTTTAGAAGAGAGAAGACAAAGAGGAAAGGTCATGGGGTCAGGTGAGCTCCAGTGAGAGTTCACCAACGCTTTTTATTATGGCCAAGATGGACATGTGTTCATAGTCCAACCAAACCCTGCGGGTGGGGAAGGGGCTGGCCTGGGCATCCCTGCTTTGGCATGGTCCCCCATTTCTTTATCTTTTCAGGTGTGTTAGTGACTTTCATTGAACAAAAGGGGTTAAGTGTGTTTTAAAAATTCTGTTTGAGAGTCAGATTAAAAGTTGAATTACACAAGATCACTCAGGAGATGGTAGAGCAGATGGGGGGTGGGAGGTGGGAGTCCATGCCTTTAGAGTAATGTTGTTTTTGTTTCATTTTGAAATTTATTTTGGAGACATGGTCTCTATATGTAGCTGAGGCTGGCCTGGAACTTACTCTATAGCCCAGACTAGCTGGAACTCATGATCCTCCTGTTTCAGCTTCTGGATGCTGCACTTACAGATGCATGCTCCAACACCTAGCTAAGCTTCGCCTGAATGTCTTGGCCATATTTTACCAGGGAGAGCTGCAGTCATTTTGTAAGAGGGTTTAGCAATGGACACAAATCAGCCCTTGGAAGCCTGTTCTGATTTTCTTTTTATGGGTTTTACACATAGCACAGTGGTCATAGAAAATGCCTTTGGACTTCACACTTGACTGTCCTTCAGCCCCATTTTCTCTCTTGGGTTCCAAGGACATATTTTCATTTTATCGAAAATTGATCAGAAGCAGTTTGACCACCCAGCTGGCAGTTTGGCGAGCCTGTTCCAGGTTTTGAACCACTCCCGCTGATTTCTCCGGAGCTAACTTGAAGTTGCGGGTATATTAACCCTTTACGGTGGCATCTTCCGTCTTTGGGTAGTGCGCGGACGGTTCCCTGGCCTCAGTCTCTCCCGTTCTGCAGCTTGCACTGTGGTCCTTTCTAGGACCAGATCTTCATGGAGAACGTAGGCGCCGTGAAACAGCTTTGCAAACTGACCAACAACCTGGAAGAACGGATCGAGGAGTTAGAAATATGGAACAAAAGGCTGACCAGGTTAAAACGCCTCAGCAGCAGCTGGAAGTCCTCTGTCAGTGAAGCCAGTTCAAGCAGGTATGTGCCGTGTCTCCATAGAACTCCCGGGGAGGAAAAGAGTGGACTCCTCCCATAGGAGACAGCTCTGCCTGGCCTTGATGGGGCAACAGTTCCACTTTCTGACACTGAAGTCCCTAGTCCTCCCTTAGAAGAGTTTAGGATGCAGGCCGGGGCGGTGGTGGCCCACGCCTTTAATCCCAGCACTCGGGAGGCAGAGCCTCTGTGAGTTCGAGGCCAGCTTGGTCTACAGAGAGAGATCCAGGACAGGCACCAAAGCTACACAGAGAAACCCTGTCTCAAAAAAACAAAAACAAAAACAAACAAACAAACAAAAAAGACCTGGAGTGAAAGAAAAGTATAGCAGGAAAAGGTCTTTTGAGTTTAGGATGTGCTTGCCTACTGATATTTTTGTTACATGTTTTGTTGGTGCTCTTAAAATGAAATATGAGGCATCTGTTTGAGATCCTCAACCATTAGAAGAAATGCTAAATATTAGCAAAAAGATATTTTCCCTTTCAAGGAGGAGGGCTGGCCATTTCTAAATTTGGAAAAATCATCTTTGATCCTGGGGGTGGGGGTGGGGGGCGGTTGTCATTTTATTGTTGTTTTTATTACTTAAGGAATTAAATGCACATTTCCTGGGCTCTAGTTCTTTAAAAAAAAAAAGAGAGCAAAAAAAATAATGTTAATGCATTCATTAATACTCACTAAAGATTTTTTTCCCCACAAAAGAACTCCAATTGCTTTGACTTTTCTTATTTCCAATGATGACTGTATTACAAAAGAAAAGTCCCCCTGCTGTGTTTGTGACAGTGTGGGCCTTTGTCATAAACCTAGAAAGGCATTTAAAGTAATCAATTCTCTCTCTCTCTCTCTCTCTAAAGCAAATTTAGCAGAGCTGTTAGTACCTCTCCTCCAAGAAGGGCCATTTCCAAAAAGCCCAACAAGGTAAATAGACTGAACTTTAAAAAGAACAGAGATGGGATTTTTTTACACAAAATGAAATCTTAGTTGAGTCTCCTGGTGTATGTAGATCCCAGCTGCTTGGGGGTGGGTGTGGAGGGGGGAGGCTGAGCCAGCAAGATGGGAAGTGCAAAGCCTGCATTTTATAGCCTGGGGTATAAAATGAGTTCAAGGCTAGCCTGGGCAACTTTGTAAGAGTCTGTGGGAGTAGTTCACCAGTACAGCACTTGTCTTACATATGAGTGGCTCTGTTTTCAATCCATAATAACACACACACACACACACACACACACACACACACACACACACACACAATTTTAGAGAAATTGATCAACACATCCTTCTTGGTCTGTTTCCCAGTTTGCACCCTTCCACAGGTGTTAATGGCTATTATCTATTTTTTAAACAACAAAAGCCTAAAGACAAGTGTAGTCAGAAGTTTTCCTGTGTCCCACAGCCGCTCAGTCCCAAGCAAACCCACAGAGGCTTATATTAATTGCAGACTTTTTATAGTCTATGGCTCAGGCTTACTGTTAACTAGCTCTTCTATCTTAAATTAACCCATCTCTATTAATCTACGTATCGCTGCGTGTCTCCTGGCTTTACCTGTGTTCCATTCCATCATCTTCTCTTGGCAGCTCTCAGCGTCTCCCCTACTCCGCCTTTCTTCTCCCTGTATCTTTTCTTGGATTCCCCGCCTGGCTGTACACTGTCTTGCCATAGGCCAGAGCAGCTTCTTTATGAACCCAATGGTAGCCACACATATTCACAGCGAACGGAAAGACCATCCCCGTGCTGTCTTGGCACGTGGTCTCTGTTTCTGCGACCTTGACTTCCCTTGCCTGTCACTGCCAGCTCTCTAGGTGACCTTTGCCCCTAGAGGCCTCCTTGGGTCATTGGGTCATTGAAATGTATACACATGGGTGGATAGTGGTGCTCCTGGGCCGAGTGGGGAGTGTTGATGATCAAAATTCTACAGGTACTGGACCTCTAGGTAAGAAGCATGGCTGGGACCACCCAGGTCTTGGTGCTGGCCAGGACATTTTCTGGAGGAAGTTGAGGCCACCTCCATCTAGTGCTAATGCAGTCAATAGGATGGTCCTTACTTTGCTCTGTTTCTCCAAAAGGTAGGTAGCTGCTATCTACAGTGGTAGGTGAGATGGGAAGGCCTGACAGTTCCGGTTAGAATTCAGGATAAGTAGAAGAGAAGGGGAAAGGGTAAGAATAGCTGCATACATCTCATGCCACATAAAACCTGTTGAGACGGAATTTGCCGGGGCGGTTAGATTTTTGACAGTCTCCATAGTCATCCTTAGGTCTATCCAGATTGGAGAATTGTTACGTTGTTAATTGGGCCCCCCCCCCCCATAATAACTCAGAGAAGCACTTGGGCATTGTTTTATTTTCCTATGTTAGTGGTAAGGAAGATGAGAATGAACGGTATATACAGGACTTGACTCAGTCATTTCCCAAAGTGTGGTCAAAGGACTGTGAGCAAAATCAAGGAGATTTAGACTAGCCCAGCAGCTTGGGGCCGGGAGCCCTTATTCTAGGAAGAATACTATTAATTCCAACCAACTCAGCAAATTCCACTGAACCTTTTCTCGGCATGGCAGTCCTCAGACATCCTCAGAACGTTCCCAGCGAGAGTTAGGAAGGGTACCCACCAGGCATGGACTTTGTGACGTTCAGACTGCTTCCGGTGGCATTCATGAAAGACTTGGTACTAACAGCCCCTAGGCTTCTGTGCCTGTTAAAAAGTATATCATTATTAAACACCCCCTCTTTACAACGAAGAACATGTTCCTTAACTAGATAACAAATCGAAGGAATAACTAGAGGGCAATTTAAAACTATTTCTTAGTTATTCCCATTCCTGTATACCCTTCAGTCAAAATCCCGATTCCACTCTGTCTTCTGAGAAGGAAGGACACAACACTCCCCACTGGAGTCGTGGGAACCTCCTAAGTAGGCAGCACTCATTCGAGTGGGCAGGAACCCCTCCAGCTCCATTCCCTACCGGTTTCACAGCTCCTGGTGCGTGTTCGTAGCTCTTCCCCATTCCCCGTGTGCTAGTTTTTACGACACTATGTGTCTGCCCTGACGTGTGCTTCATTACCTTCCTAGAGACAATATTTACAGATTTTCATATCGTCTGTGGTTGTACAAAGCAGCAATCAATAAATATTCATTGAAAGAATGGAAGAATAAACAAAACACGGGCCCAGAGCTGTCCTTAGTCATAGGTGGGAAAATGGAACACTCACATGCCATAAGGTGTGCTTGGTAGTATTTTGTGCCCCAAAATCTTTCCTATGGCTTCCCCGACATTCTCCTGTGGGAATTCATTCCTTCCTGTCTGGAGGAACTTTGGATCTCTCCAAGTCCATTAGGAGACGGCGCCTGGGTTCTGATGCCCTTGTCTTCTAGGCTGCCTTCTTTCATAAAGGACAAGACAGTATGCACAGCTGTCCTGCACACACTAGGCAAAGGCCAGGCTGCTGTAGCCTGCAGCACCTAGCAATGGGAGGCTTTGAATGAGATTGTTGTGTTCAGAGAGGCAAGAGCAGAGGGGGCAGGTGTAAACTGAGGCACGTTGGGAGGAGTCACCATCGTTGGGAGACAGCAAAGATCTCGGCTGGTTTGGGTCTTCAGGACTCACAGCTGCTGTTCTGATCTGTCCATGTTTCTCAACTTTCCCACAGGTGTCCTTTTCAGGGAGGAAACAGTCCTGCCCCAACTGGGTTTTCCAGACACTGGTTATAGCTTTAATTGCTGTAATGACGTTTTGGTAAGAAAAACTTCCATGTTATGCTATCAAGTTTTTCTTTTTTTTTTCTTGTCTTTCTTTTCTCACACATGAACTGGGGACTGACCTTCTCTTTGCTTAAAGATAAAGAGCTTTCTTTTTTTTTTTTTTTAAATCGGCACGAATCTTTGATAACTTAAAGATGATGGAGCCCCTTTGAAATTCATATCTTGAAGAAAACACAACTGGATTTATGTACTTAGATGTGAGATGAATGATGATCTTATTCTTTTCAATCAATTGTGATTTAGCAGCAGACCATGGTGTGTGTGTGTGTGTGTGTGTGTGTGTGTGTGTGTGTGTGTGTGTGTGTTATATTTGTCTTATCTTTGCAAGTAACTCTCTCAAATTCTTTGTTTTCCTTTCTGTCTACTTGGGAGAAAGGGGCAAGTGGGAAATCCTATACAGCCTGTGCTGCCCGGCACTGATATCTGTTAGGATGCTTTGTATTCTGCCACGAAGACTTTTCTATCCAAGAGCCCCCAAGAACTGTGAAAATGCATAGACACCTGAAACCGTAGCCCAGTCTGCTAAGAGAGTAAGCAAGCAGATGCAGCAGGGAGGCTGTGGTGGCTTTGACCTCTGTCTCTGCCTGGAGGTGGTGGTTGTGGAGGTGAGATTGGAGGAGATAGTGGAGGAAGGAGTAGAGGTGATTGTGGGGTAGGAATGGAGGAGGGAGTGGGGGAGAGTGGAGGAGGGGGTGGGGGAGAGTGGAGGAGGGGGTGGGGGAGAGTGGAGGAGGGGGTGGGGGAGAGTGGAGGAGGGCAGAGTGATCCTTGTAGTGCTGCACTTTCTCATGTCTCTGGTCTCTAGGATCCTGTGGTCACAAGGACAGCTCCCTACACTTAAGTTTTCTTGCTTGTGCTCTCTGGGCTTGTAAACAGTACATCCCTTCTTTCCTCTCTCCCTTCCTTCCTTCCTTCCTTCCTTCCTTCCTTCCTTCCTTCCTTCCTTCCTTTCTTTCCTTTTGGTTTTTGTTGTTGTTGTTGTTGGGTTTCTCTGTTTAGCCCCCAGCTGTCCTGGAACTCACTCTGTGGACCAGGCTGGCCTCAGACTCACAGAGATCTGCCTACCGAGATTAAATGTGTGCGCCACCACCCTGTTGAACAGTATTTTCTTGCTGATGGTCTGACGTAGTAAAAGCAAAGCTATGCTTTGTGTGTATGGAAAGGAATGATGTCTGGGCCTTGTATGGAGGAAGACGGTTGTTCCAGAGGCAAAGCAAGTGGAGTGCCAAAGGTGCTCCCTAGCTGTGCCAGAGGTGCTCCCTAGCTGTGCCAGAGGTGCTCCCTAGCTGTGCCAGAGGTGCTCCCTAGCTGTGCCAGAGGTGCTCCCTAGCTGCGCCAGAGGTGCTCCCTAGCTGCGCCAGAGGTGCTCCCTAGCTGCGGGACACTGTGTAGCTCTCTGTCCTCTTCCCTCAGTGTTTCACTCTTTAGATGACTGAATGAGTGAGTGATTTGGCCCTGGGGATTACACCCTGGACTTTAAGCTTGCTACATCCATGCTCTCATTGATTGGAACCTTCGTTCAGCCCAGCTAATGCCCACAGTGGGAGTATGCCCAGGTGTTTGATGTCATGACCTGAAATTCCCATCAGGAGCCTTTGCATTTCCCCTCAGTTTCCTAAGTGCTCATCTTCTGCCAGGTTCCCCAGCCCAGGGGAGGGTGAGCATCTACTTTTAGCAGACACACATCACATGCTCCGGAGATACAGCCCCAGCCCTGTGAAGAGGTGTAGATGAACAGTCTTATTAAATAAGAAACACAGAGCCAATTGCAGAGTTAAAAGCCCAAGAGGTCAGAGCAGTAGCTAAGAGCTTAAAACCCTTTCTTACCCTCACCGCCGCTGCTGTCCTTCCCCTCAGCAAGAGGCCTACTTCCTGTGTGTCTGTCCTTTTATTGACTTTCTGTTCTGCCTTCTCATTGGTTGTAAACCCAACCACATGACCTCCTCGTCACTGCCTGTCTATACAGATCTACAGGTCTTCTAAGGTTGGTATTGAGATTAAAGGCGTGGGTCTCCATGCTGGCTGTATCCTTAAACACACAGAGATCCGCCTAGCTCTGCCTCCCAAGAGCTGGGGTTAAAGGCGTGCGCCACCACCGCCCAGCTTCTGCTATGGCTTGCTATTAGCTCTGACCCCCAGGCAACTTTATTTATTAACATACAAATAAAATCACATTTCAGTACAAATGAAATATCACCATAAAGAGGTGATGGGAAGTCTAGTTCTGAGTAAAGTCACTGCATTCAGCGCCCGTTTGTGAGACCCTCTGAGCCCAGTGTTGGCCATTAGGACCACAAATGTGAGGTAATAGGCTCCGTCTCTCAGTCATGGTCTCTGTCGTGCCTGAGAAGCATCAAAACCTGGGTTTGCTGCTGCAGAGAACATGTCTCTTTCATTCTAACGCACTAGAAGTCGTCTGGTCTGTGCATTGAGACAGACGTCAAACACGAATCCGGGGAAAGATTTTAGAATTAATAGTTGGGGGACAGAGAATGAGAGACACGGGCAAGCACAAAGCAAGGGAAGCCGGACCACGGTAAACGGTTGCCGGGGTGACGCGACAGCGTCTGTCTGACACATCCTTAGACTTGGTACCACTTTTCCAGAAAGGACTGAGCCTGTCGGGCATCTCCCATCTGTCTCTGAGAACACGTTAGGGCTTCCCTTCTGGTGAGTGGAATTCATTTGGGGAACATCTCCGTGTTTTTAGGCAGCGATGGTAAATCTACCACCTGCAGGGGAGAACACAGTCCCGAGGAGCTGGGTTTGGAAAGCAAGGTGTGAAGTAAGGCTGCCAGGACAGCAAGTCGAGTGACCTTATTTCCAGCAGACTTCTATGTGACTCACGAGAGAGTCTAAAAACTCCCTGCAGAGAGGAAGGCACACAACGTTTAGACGGATAAACATGGCTGGGATCCGCGTCTCAAACGCCAGAGCCCTTCAGGGACACTTTCATTTCGCTGTGTAAATTGTGTGAATGAGAGGAAAGGCATGTTCATTATTTCGAAGTCACGTGGCTGCTTTGTGCCTTTCCTTTCTTCCCTCTGCATAACTTGATATATCGGACTCTGGACGATGTTGTAGATGACCAAAGGGTTTGGGCTCCATGGCTGACCTCTGCCTCCCTTCACCTCCCAGCTCAACAGTGTGGATGAACACCACCCGCAGGAAGCGAGTTTTGTCCTTATCTTTCCCCCCTCCAGCTGTTGACAGGCCTCCCCTGGTGACAGCTTGCCAGGGCCAGGGAGTCTGCTCTGTGGAGAGCTCCTTTGGCACAGAGTCCTGGGAGCCTCTGAACTACCAGGAGCCCAGGGTTCTTTTCACTTTCCCAGGCAGAAAACCCTCACTGTGCTGTTTCCATGGTGTTCCTGCCAGCCACAGCTCCCTCTCCTCACTGTTCCCATCTGTGTGGCCTGCGAGTACATCTGCGGCCAGCTGGAAAGTTGACTGAGATATATATATGGAAACAAATCCGCCACCTAATGCTTTCTCCCCCCTTTTAACAGCGCCCTGACGATAGTCGCCCTTTACATACTTAGCTTAAAGGATCAAGACCGACGCTCCCCAAATCTCCCTCTAAGGTAGGAGCTCAGACCTTGTGTTCCTTTGAGAACTTAAGGACTTAAAACATTATTCTTATTTATGTGTATGTGGGTGCCTGAGGAGGCCAGAATTGGGCATTGGATCCCCCGGAGGTGGAGCTGTTTGCTGACTGAATTCACTGATGTGAGGGCTGGGAACTGAACTCCAATCTTCTGGGCAAATGCTAACCACTGAGCCGCCACTCCAGTCCTAACAGAAGGACTCTGGAAGGCCAGTTTCACTAACCATTTTGTACTCTTGCAGCAATATTACCAGTTCTCCAGAGCCGACTCTGCCGTCCACAGCTTCCCCCTCAGGTACCGTCTTCCTGTTCCTCACCGTAAGTCCGACCCGTTTTCCCTCCACGGGCCACGACGTTGCGTGACCCTCCTTTGCTCAATGCCTTGCAGCTCCTCACACAACCTTGGCGACCACACAGACCTCCCCTCAAGTGCCTGAAATCACTTTCTGTGAGATCCTGACGTGTCAGGAAACTTACTGCTGCCCCGTGTGGGGACCACGAACGTTATTTTCAAGTCCTGCACAGAGACTATTGGCAGCAGAGAGAGAAATCCATCAGAGAGAGCGGGCAGGTAAACACTGTTCAGAGCGAAACGAATAAGCCTTCGAATTTGAGGTTTTCCCTGGTTGATATTTACCTGGATAGTTTGTGAATGGATATAGACAGTGGTTTTACTCTTCTCTTTGATGTCGCACAATCTATAAAAACATGGGCACATGAGCCAATAACCATCTGAATATTGAACATCTTCCCCAGGGAAGAGATGCTGTCCGTCTGTGTCTCCTCTGCCCCTACGAGACAGGGTTTCTCTGTGTAACAGTCTTGGCTGTCCTGGAACTCACAGAGATCCTCCTGCCTCTGTCTCCTGAGTGCTGGGGATTAAAGGTGTGCGCTACCACTGCCTGGCGTTTAAATTATTTGTAATTTTTACCCAGCAGAAATATTTCATTTGTCTGTCACCAACAAGGATGGCGAGGTAACCAGGTGCACATGGGTTAGTTTTTTCTCCTCTTTGTTTTGTTCGTGGCTCATTTAGAACTTACATGGTGTAGTATCTGGACTTCCTGTCTAACTAATCTGGGGAAAAAATATAAGAAACATAGAAAAAAGAAGAGAGGAAAGGAGTGAACGAACTTTGGAAACCCTGACTTGAATATAGCCTTTGGGCTCGTGGGACCCAGGAGCTTGGCTTTCCACTTTCAGAAGCCTCCCTCTCCTTTTGTACACGTGTGCACAGCTATTGGTTTTGTTGGCTTGTTTGGTCTTGTGTGTGTGGTACACGCATAAATGCAGGTAAGTGTGCATAGGCCCGTGTGGACATGTGGAGGCTATCTTATTTTCTGATACGGGCTATCTCACTGAACCGAGTGCTCGGTGACTGGCTGGGTTGGTTAGCAGGCAAGCTCTGGGACTCGGCCTTGGTCTCCTGCGGCACCCACCCACTTTCCCCATTCTACCCCAACCTAGTACGAAGCTTGCTGCTGTGCCCGGTTCTTACATGGGTGCTGGAGATCTGAGCCCAGGTCCTCAGGCGTGTATAGCAGGCACGTTAGCTAGCTCACTAGGGCCCTTTATATGTTTAAAAAAAGTTTTTAGATCTCTGTAAGTGCAAATGCATTTCTTCCAAATGGATTCTAGTTTATGGTTTTAGAAATCTCATTCTGTATACACACATTAACAAGTGTCCAGGATAGCACTGATAATAATGGAAGGTAATATCAGCAATGTAGACTAGTGTGACTTGTCTACGAGGATGCTGCCAAAGCAGCATCTCCCAAATGATGGAGATGTCAGGTGCCAATAAATTATTTCTGACTCTATGAAATGTGTATTAAAACAGGGCTCTGGCTCACCATGTTCAGGACCCCGCTGGTGGTGATTCCGTGTCCCAGTGTTTCGATAATAATTGTAGTCATGGCAAGAAAACAAATCGCATTCGTCCTCTGTAAAGTTCCCACCTCACAAAAGCGCATGTCACTTCTGCTTACACACTGCTGGCCAGAGAAAGTCGTATCGGTCATATCTGGTTTCAGATGGATGGAGGGGGTGTAAATTTATCATGGATCTCGATGAAGTAAATGAATAAAAATAGTATTTGTAAGCAGCCTGCCACACCGAATATGGTCAGTTGGCAGAGCCTTAGGGCAAAAATGTAATCTCCTTCCCCTGGATTAATATCACATCCCCGTTTATCATGAAGCAATGAGGTATGACGCCACACAAGACACTGTAATAGCAGCTCAGACGAATAAGTCATTTGCTCCTCACACACACATCGTATAGGCACTGTTAATGTCCTCTTTTTTGTTCCCAGTGAGGAAACTAAGACACAAAGTGTTTTCTTGTGTCTCTAAGAGACTTGGGCTTTTTTTTTTTTTTTCTCATCAAAACAATGTTGAACCAAATTTGGGAACAGATGTATCAAGCCAGAGTGGCTATGAAGCTTCAGTTGTAAGAAAGGGGTTTGTGTCAGCCATCTTGTTTTCAATACAGTGTTCTCTTTTTACGGTTGCATATGCATGTCTGTGTATGCATATTTGTGTGTCGGAGTGTGGGCACATGTACACCATGGTCTGCATGGCAGAAGACAACCTGGAGCATCGGTTCTTGCTTTCCACCTCGGGGTGGGGTCTCTTGCTGGTTGCTGCTGAGCATGGCAGGCGAGGTGGCCTGTAAGTCTTCATCTCCCTTCTCACTGGAATTACAGTCATGCATTATTACGTCCAGCCTCATACGGGTACTGGGGAGTTGAATTCAGCTCCTCACACTTGTCCAGCAAGCGTTTTATATCCACTGAGCCATCTTGACAGATCCCTACATATTTTTAAATAGAAAAAGTCGGTATTGAGGCCGGAGAGATGGCTCGGCAATTACCAGTGTTACCGCTCTCAAAGAAGACCCACGTTTGATTCCCAGCACCCACATCAGGTGGCTCACAACTGTCTGTGACTCCAGTTTCAGGAGATCCAAAGTTCTCTGGCCTCTGTAGCCACCAGCATGCATGTGGTGCACATAAACTCGTGCACACACAAACATGTGCACTTAAGTAATTTCTTTTTAAAAAAGAAAGAAAAGAAAGAAGAAACTAATACCGTCCCCCAAATCCCTAAAACCTTCATCTCTTGCAAAAGAATGTGGAAGATTATGGTTGGCCAAGCATTTTCTGACCTTGGCTGTCCTCCCTGAAGACATGTAATGTCCGTCTTTGACAGTTATCCCCAGAAGGGACCATTCCACCTACTCAAGATCTATCAATGACAATGAATTCTTAGGAGGGAGAAGTCAGAGCTGCTCTGCTCTTCATTGTCAGGGCTTTGTTTGATCCATAACAACCAGTTCTCCATATAAGAGAATGTTAGAAGACAGGAAGTGGTGGCGCACACCTTTAGTCCCAGCACTCGGGAGGCAGAGCCAGGCGGATCTCTATGAGTTCGAGACCAGCCTGGTCTACAGAGTGAGATCCAGAACAGGCTCCAAAGCTACACAGAGAAACCTTATCTTGAAACACACACACACACACACACACACACACACACACACATATATTGGAAAGCTCAGCTCTGAGCAAACTGGACAGTGAGTGTCTGCTCATCCTGTATTTCCACATCTGTGGGAACTCTGAGAGAAAGATCTGCTGCTAGGTGCCTGGGCATGTCATAGATTGTCAGAGAACAGCTGCACTAGTGACCCTTTTTACCCTGAGAATCCACAGTTAACATACTTTCATAATGACTGTATGGAGAAAAGCATAAGGGGTAAATGTAAGTCCAGCTGAGCCTCTACATGAATTTTGTGTGGTAGAAATCCATGGGAAGACGCCTCCTCCCAAGACCATGGACAGCACCATAGACCTGTTTTCTGCGATCACTCAGGGCTTCAAAGCTTTACCTCAGAAGAGCCTCTGATTTATGGTGATACCCCTATTTTACAACATAATCACTGGTGAAGTTAGAATTGGAATCTAGGCCCCTGTTTCCATGACCACGGTTCCTCCCAATCTGACATCCTGCTTTTGTTTATTTAGACGTAGGGTGTGCACATACGTGCTCCCACCTCTAAAAGATGCGGACAGTAACCACTCTGAGCATCCAGAAAGCCTCTCCCATGCCTCCCTCCTCATTGAGTCTGCCTATAGCCATCAGGATGTTCCCTGATGCAGGATCTTTCCCAGGGTGGAGGAGGGCTGCTCGTCTCTTGCTGACGCAGCTTCCCCCCCTCTGTCTAGGGCAGCGGTTCTCAATCTGTGGGTCTTGACACCTTTCAGGGGGGGTCCAATGACCCTCTCACAGGAGTCACCCAAGACCATTCGTAATATCAGATATTTATGTCAGGATTCAACAATAGAAAAATTACAGTCATGAAGTAGCAACAAGAATAATTTTTACAGTTGGGGGTCACCACAACATGAGGAACTGCGTTAAAGGGTCGCAGCATTAGGAAGGTTGAGAACCACTCATCTAGGGTGATGTATAGCCTCAGGGCTCCCAACACAAAAGAGGAGAATGTTGGGTGACTGTTATTTGCTACCAGGTGTTTCTGAGACATGAAGAACAATTAAAAATTAAGGAATAAAAATAAAAAAGAAATTCAAGGAGTTTAAAAAAAATCAGAGAGCTCTCAGTGGGATGCAGAGTACTATCTGGCAATTTACTCAAGCCCAAAAGACATTTGTGAGACGCTTCCCTGAGCAGTCAGACTACAATAAAGCAAGTGAAAGAAAATCTGCGTTGTTATGACATGCTGAGCTCAAGGTATAATTTTTCTTTTAGGTCTAAGTTGATTGCCTAAGTATTTGTAAAGTGTCTTTCAGAAAAGTCATCCACTCCTCTCCTATTCTATTTCCCTGCTCTTTAATAAAAAGTTTGAGAAAGACAGATAAGGGAATAGAAAGTACTTCAGAATATTGAATTTCTACTCTGAGGAGACAACTGAATATGATGGATTAGGTTTTAACCCATGGGACCCAGGAAGATTCAAGTAGACAGAAGAGTTTAAATATGAAAAAACAAAAGGCCCATCGGGAAAACATTGATGGAATGGTACATATTGTAACAGGTCGGTGAGCCTTAAAAAAAAAAAAATCGAAAATCAAAACAGCACCTGGCATCCTTCCTCATTTTGTTTTAAATGTAAGAACTTTTAGAAGAATGAATCCCCCAAAGAAAATGGTCCCCTGTGCTAATGATCTCAGCCATGATGGGCCGGGCACATTGACCTCTTCCTCCAGGCTTGCTTCTGTCATGAGGCAGGAAAGGTATCCTAGATGCTGCACCAAGATTCAGCCTTCAGCACAGTTGTACATGTAGTGTGCTACCCACGATCTGCCAGGATGGATACCGTTCTACATCTCTCTGCTCTGGTTTTTGATTTAGTTGACTGGGAGGTCCCACCCATCAGTTGTGAAATACACCCTTAGCCTCCTAAGGAAAATCACCTGTGTTACACATTAAGCCTATAGTGAAAGTTCTGGAAGGCATTTATAGAAGGAGAGCTTCCCATTCGGTTCATTAGGAGTTATGGTTTTCTAATAGCCTGCTTTTCAGAGTAGAAGAGTTCTGCTTCATATAAGTG